AGGGAGGCAACGTGGCGCAGCAGAGGGGGGGGCTCCAATTAGCTCCGGGGCTGCGGGCAAGTGTCTGAGGTCTCCACCCCAACTCTCCAGGCGTCACCAGGCCAGGGGCTCCCCCGCCCAGCAGCATCTCAGCAGAGCCCAGCCCACACCTCACCCACACCTGTCCCTCTGTGCCCTCCCTCGCTCCAGGTGACCTACGTGCTGCTGTGAGGGGCTCCGAGATCCACCCTCACCGCTGCCAGAGTCGGCCCGGCCTCAGCAGGAGCTGCCTCCAGTTTCTTCAGCTCCTGCCGTGCTCAGGCTGCGCCTCTGGGAAGGGAGAGAGGTGATCCAGGTGGGGAGGAAGGGGGAAGAGGATATTCTGAGGAGATCCCACTTCCTGAGCAAGCCAACGTAAGTGACTTCGTGACTGTAAAGGACGCTAAACATACCTGTTCCAACCTTGATCCAAATTACTGACGCTTTGGATCGTGATGTTTTGTGGGACTGTTTTTCCACTTCGTCAACAATTCCAGAAATTTCACATCGCAACGTGTCAAAAATTAAAAGAGAACTCCAAGAAAGGCCTTTGCCACACCTGACCGAGCCCCTCCATCTCACAGGTGAGGAGGCCCACACAGGCAGACGCTTCCTGGGGTCACACAGGAGGACGGTGGCAGGGCTCTGCCTCTTCCCCCAGGGCTTCCTCCCCGGCCCGGCCCACCTGAGCTCAGAGCATCCTGGGCTGAACGGCCTCCTCCCCAGGACAAGCAGCCTTCTCTGGCTGCCCCCCTGGGTAAAAGGCGCAGCCCCACCCTTGTCAGCTCCTGGCCTGGACCCACTCGGGAGCGGGCAGTGGGAACTTGAGGGCTGGACATCTGCTCCGGCCTGGCTCTGAGCTCGGGGCTTCCTGAGGCCCAGACTGGCTGGGGAGGGTGGTACTTTCCAGAACCAGGCAGGCCTTGGGGGAGGGAGCACGGAGGGACTGGGACACAGTTGTAGGGGTGACAAAAGGGTCATCAGGGACAGCGGAGCCGAGGTCATCCAGAGAGCTGGGGCACCTGAAAAGCACATCACAGAACAAGTCACGGCCTCGCTGTGGAGACCCTTCTCCCCCAGCCCCGCCCTGGAGAGCCTGTGCCCGTCACCCAGCTCACCTCAGACCGCTCCCTGCCCCCACCCTTCCCTCACTCAGAACAGATTCTGCAGCCGGCCGCCTCCTCTGGGGCCTGCAAACCCGCAAACAAGGCTGGGCCCACATGCTCCCCCGCAGGACCCCGAGTCTTCCGCCCGTCCCTGCCGCCCAGCGCACCACTGGGCAGGAAGGGAGCAGGCGCTCAGCATTCTTTTTTTTTTTCTTAATAAATGAATGCCTGAATCCACACGCAAAGTCTTACAACCCTGCCTGACCTTGTCCTCCCCCCGCCCCGGGCCCTTCCCCACCCCTGCCCGTCTGCCCAGCAGTACCTGGGGCCGAGGAGGCGGCAGTGGTCACTCCCACAGGAAGTGCACATACCAGATGGTCTCATTCTTCAGCTGGGGCCCGAACAGGGGGTTCAGCTGAGCCAGGATGGCGATGAGCCAGCTGCCAGGGACAGCACAGTGCGGGTGAGCCCAGACACAAGGAACTCTGCCGTGCACACCTCCCACCACGCCTTTGATCACATGACCGACCCAGCAGCAGGGTCTGGGTTCTGGAGGGAAGGGCCTCATGGAGCCACCCACACTGCGGCCGGCACGGGGGCTCAGTCTGGGGCGTGTGGGTTTGGGTTTAGGTTTGGTTTGATCTGATGTTTTGTAGATTTATAAGATCCCTGCGCTGGGGCTGGACCCTGGGATTAGCGAAGAGGTAAGACGGCCTCCAGGGCACAAAGGGAAGCCATACCGGCTTCACTGAGCATGAGAGAGGCCTCCCTCAAAACCAGAGCTTGGATTTATTCCTCAGTTTGGCAGCCAGGGTGATTTAACACGGAGCAACCTAACATAGGAGGATTGGGGAGGGATAGCAGACTGCCTTTTTTGTAAAAGGGGAGGGACTACCATGAACGGCAGTTTTAGAAAGAGAACCTCTAGACATGAAGGACCTGGAAATTGATTCCCTCACACTGTCCAGGCACTCGCATCTCTTGGAACGTTTTCTATATCCCAGGGACCTTTTCCAAGTTTGAAGACTACTGCTCATCCAGTGGTTCTAAACTGGCTGCATCACAATCACCCAGGGGCATTAAAAATAAGGATTCCCAAGTGCAGATCATGAGAACTGTGATTTAGTGGGTCCAGGGTGGAGCCCTAAAAGCTGTGTTTTTACAATCTCTCCAGGTGATTCTGATGTCCCATCAGGTACAAAAGGCACTGAGCTGGCCCAACTCACTCATTTTGTGAATGAGAAAACTGTAGCCTATGAACATGACAGAGCTTGTCCAGGTGCTACATTCAGAACCGGAACCCAGAGTTCATGACTTCCAGCCCATCGCTCTCTTTGCCTCTCCAACTGCCTCCTCTTCTGTGCTTTACAGCCTCAGCCTTTCAAGAGCTGAACGTGCCAGGACCAGGACAGAGGGGAGAGCAGGGCTGGGAAAGGAGGAAAGAAGGGGGCACAAAGGCCCCAGCTGACTTCAAGCTGGGAGAGCAGTACTTACAAGAGGTAACAGCAGACAGCGGTGGCCACCAGCATGGTGATGGTCACTCTGCAATGGAAGAGGACGTCAGGTCAGGACGGATGGAAGCATTGCCCCCAGGAGGCCTGGCCGAGGTCAGAGAAAGAGCTCCTGGTGCCAGCCCCTTTCCCGTCTGATGCCACCTGAACACAGGGAGGCTGAGTTCTACTCAGGGTAAGAATTGCTAGATGGAAAATAAAAACGCCAAGTGTCACCTCTTGGGGAGGCCAACCTTGATCACATCCAAGTTACATTATGCATCTTTCCCTTCACCTATCTGCCTTCTCAGTCCCACTGTTTCTCCATCTTAATGCAAACATGTTGGGAAAAGACACTGCACAGAGCTGCACTTGCAGCCACCCACCATGGAGTGGCCTCTGGAATCCAAAGTTCATCGGGCAAAGGGAAGGAAGACAGGAGACCAGAAGACAGGGCAGGAGGCAAGGAGACCGTGAGCCATCTCTGAGGCACAATGGGCAGTTATAATGACAATAGCAACTGGCTACCTTGAATCTACTCAAATGCTGGAGACAGAGGCTTTAAATGCAGGAGGAAAACTTCAGAAGGAAGAACTCACCAAGGTCTGCAAGGGAGGCGAGGCACTAAAATGGTTTACAAAGTGAGGCCATGGGACCTCAGCCCTGCAGGTCCTTTTTTTTTTTTGCCACTCCGCGCGGCATGCAGGATCTTAGTCCCCCAACCAGGGATCGAACCCGTGCCCCCTGCAATGGAAGCTTGGAGTACTAACCACTGGACCACCAGGGAAGTCCCTAGCCCTGCAGATTTTTAAGAACAAAGGCAACACCCAAATGCAGCCTCCAGCCAAAGCTAAATCTAACCCAAACCAGGCCCTAGGACCTCTGATCTAAAGTACTTTAAGTTGGTGCCAGAGCAATTAGCATTTGATCCATTCTTTCAACATTACCAAGTGCCGTGGGCCAGTCCTGTACTGGGCAATGGCGTCTACAGTGGTGAACAGGACAATCTTCCACCTCGAGGAACTTGTAATCAAGGGGAGAGAGTGCTTTACAGCTGAAGATGGTATGAAGCAGAAACTGGTAAATGGTGCAAGAGGTAGAGAAACCTGCTAGGGGACCTTCAAAAAATAATGATACTGGGCTTCCCTGGTGGCACAGTGGTTGAGAGTCCGCCTGCCGATGCAGGGGACACGGGTTCGTGCCCCGGTCCGGGAAGATCCCACATGCCGCGGAGCAGCTGGGCCCGTGAGCCATGGCCGCTGAGCCTGCGCGTCCGGAGCCTGTGCTCCGCAACGGGAGAGGCCACAGCGGTGAGAGGCCCGCATACCACAAAAAAAAAAAAAAAAAAAAAAAATGATACTGGCTAAAAATTATTCAATACAATATGTGCCATGCACTAAGAGTCTTATATACATTATTTTGTGTAAGCCTCACAGCAACCTTAAAAGGCAGGTATCATCATCACCCCCAATTACCTAAGAAAAAATGAGGCTTGAAGGTGTGATAGACGCTCAAGGTCACAGCTGGGCAGGAGTGGACAAACTGCATCAGTGTCTAGCCACAGCCTTTACCTTTACAGGTTGGAGGGTGACCCGTAACTGTCTCCACCTTTCTAAAGCACGAGCATCTCTGCCCTTTGGCCCCGACCGCCTGCCTGTTCCCTGCTGAACGCGGCCCAGCACAGACCCGAGAGGAGTGGGGCGCCGTGCGCGCGCCTGGACAGTGCTCGCTGCACCGCGGGCCGCCGCAGCCGCCGCCGCCGCCGCCCGCGCAGCCGCCGGGGGAGGGGGAGCGCGCGGCCGCGAAGGTGTCCACAGGGAGGCTGGGCCGCGCGATCCTTACCCGCGGTTGGGTCCTTTCGGCACGAACCAGGGCCCGGCGATGCCGATGAGGCCCCAGAACGTGGTGAAGATGATGACCGGGAGGGCGAAGGAGTGCGCCGTCATGGCCCGGCGCGGGATGCCCAGGCCAGGATGCGAGTCAGAATTGCAGATGCTCCGGTGCGCGGAGGTCCGGCCCAGGCAGTGGGCGCCGAGTATGCGCAGCAGGACCCGGCCGCCTAAGAAAGCCCTTTCAGCGAGCCCGACCCGCGCAGGCGCTTCAGCGCGTCACTCGGGGTGGGGCGTGGGCGGGCTTTGCTCTAAGCCAGAGATAATTAGCTTTGAGCAGCTCCCCCAGTATGCTAGTTTTGGTTACGGGATTAACAGGACTGAGGCATGTGTCGAAATAAACTCTGCTTTATTCAAATAGAAAAAGGTTGAGAATCAGACATGGTTTTGTTTTTTTTTTTTTTTGCGGTAAGCGGGCCTCTCATTGTTGTGGCCTGTCCCGTTGCGGAGCACAGGCTCCGGACGCGCAGGCTCAGCGGCCATGGCTCACGGGCCCAGCCGCTCCGCCGCATGTGGGATCTTCCCGGACCGGGGCACGAACCCGTGTCCCCTGCATCGGCAGGCGGACTCTCAACAACTGCGCCACCAGGGAAGACCCAGACATGGTTTTTTAAACCATGTTTTGCACATCTTTGAAACCAGAGGAGGAGAGAACATCCCTGGGCCAATTACCTGGGGTGACCTCGTCAGCCACTTGGATGAGGGAAACGGCCCATCTTCACACTGTCCTGCTAAATACTTAGCACCCTAGGAACTGAACCTGCGCTTTGAGGGAAGAAAAGTGTCTGGAGTAAATTACACTCCAATGTGTCTGGCTAGAACAGGGGGTCGGGACCCCGCCTTCCCACCTGGTCTCTATGGCTATTGAACTCAAACTGTCAGTTAAAATGCTGGTCACTCAGAATGTCAGCCCTGTGGGCATGTCTATGGAGATCACAGGTAGGGAATGAGGGTGGAGGCATGGCTAGGACTCTGGCCAAAGGCAAAGAGCTTGCTCCTTCCATCCCCAATGCCCTTCAGCTTGTTTTTTTGTGAGGCAAAAATAGGAAGGCTCTCCAACAACAGGGTCTCCAGGCCCTGGGGTCTGAAATGCTGCAAGTCTCTTGAAACAAAAACGAGATGTCAGCTTGGGCAAGGGGTCTCACCAAGCTTCAGCCTGGGGTCCTGCACAAAATGGTCAGCGTCCTCTCTGCCATTAGCGAACAGAGGGGACCCAGGGCATGCCTGTGCCCCTCGAGAAAGCGGGTAGTGCAAATCCCTGTGACAAACAGCATTTTCAGTCGCCCCCCCCCCCACACCCTGCCAAGGGGCCCAAGTTTCTCACGAGCTGGCATCGGAGGCTTCCTCAGAGCACAGATGTGGAGAGGCAGGGGCGTCCCTAGCTGGCCTCCACCTCCACGACTAGACTCGCACAGGGAATCGTGCATGTGGCACTCAGGCACGGCACTGCTCGCAGGACTAGCCTCTTGCTCTGAGGATTCTTAAAGGATAGAAGGTGCCATGGGGAGGATGCCTACGAGAAAGTCACCTCAATCTGAATCGCTATGGATAGGGTGGGGGGGCCCACTTTAACGGGCCCTCCTCCCTTCCATCCCACCAACTCACACCCGCGATGCCTGGCCTAGTGCAGATTCCTGAACTCCCCACGGTGACCTATGCGAATGGCAGAGGGAGGCCTGGGCTCCATCTTGGCCATGTGGACAGTAACATCGCCAGGGTTCAAGCTCTAAGGGCCCGTGGTACACCTCAGCCCCCGGAACACGGGGCTGTCAGGGAGACAGTGCCACAGGTGAAACGGCAGAAAGCGAAAACGGAATTCCTGGCTCGAAGCTGAAGAAAACAGGAAAGCGATGGCGCTAAGGCTAAGTGCTAAGGGTGGGGTGCTGGGAAGGGAGAGTCAGAGACACTGGGAACCAGGGGTTCTGCCAGACAGTGAGACACTCGCTACCAGCATCTCAGGGGCTCTCGGCACCTTCTAGGAGTGGGAAGTGGACAGATGGCTGCTTGAGGGCCAGGCCACTTGGACCTGCATCACAGAGCAGGGACCCCACCTAGGGCCAGGCAGCATGGCCAGGACGGAGCACTACTTCCTGCCCGTCTAAAACAAGAGAAAGGCAGCGGCAAAGAAGCCCTTCCCTCTAACCTGCCCTCGTTTCCCACCTGTGGTTAGGAAGGCGGGACCCAGACACTACATCATCCTCAGCCGGAGGAGCAGCCTAGGAACCTGCCCAAAGCAGCTGCCCTGGAAGGAAAAGTGCTTTACTTCCGGGTGGAAGAGGAGATGGGCTGATGCGGGGAGGGCAACGGGAGCCAAATAGCGTGGGACACCCTTCTGTGCCGCCAGGGTGGTGGTTCTCATGCTTGAGTAAGCCCACAAAGTTCCTGGAGGGCCTTGCTGGAAACAGTCCCGGGGATCTGATCAGGTGGGTCTGGGGTGAAACAGATTTAAACAGACACCCCTAGTGATTCCCAAGCTGGTCCCCAGAGCAACTTTGGGAAGAGTGGACGAGACCATTATGCTGAGGGCATGTTGAGAGAGCACCTCTTCCCGTAATAAGGACTTGGGTGGCAAGGGACAAGGACAAGGGCTGAAGGCAGCCAAGTCCACTCTGCAGCCTGAGGGCCGTCTTTCAGAGCTGGCGGCGCTGTCATCCATCAGTCCTGTGGCAGCTGGGGCACCAGCAGGCACTTGGCTTCTCTACTGCCACTTCATGGAGAGGGACACAAAGGCACAGAAAAGAGGAAGGGATTAATCATGGTTGAACCACTGCCTGCAGCAGAGTTGGGACAGGATCCCAAGCCCCCCCAGTGCAAACCTGTCCTGTCCGCTCTGCTCCGTAGAAGACCCGGGCTCAGCACAACACAAGGGCTGCGACTGGTGGAAAAGGCCAGGCCCCCTCCAGGGAAACACTCCTCCCCTGTCTGGGAGCTGCAGGAGGATAACCTTTCCTGATTGCTCTGTGCCAAGGGGTTCTGCTTGCCTCACCCTAAAGGAAGGCCCTGGGAGGAGACAGAGAAAGTCTCTGATGCGAGTCTCCCATTTGAAGTTGAGGCTTCCCTGCTTCTGCCATGGAGCCAGGGGGATAGATCCCAGAGCCAGGCCGCTGTCCCTAGACCTGCTCATCCCAGGCCCCTCACCACGTGTCTACCCCACGCCACTCAGGCTGTGGGCAGCCCGCTGGGATGCTCCCCAGCTACCCAGGGGCTGGAGGGCTCCTTTAAGCCTCCTACCCCCAACCGTCTCTCCCACTTCAGAAAAGTCCTCCTGCCACCAAAACATGGGGTGAAATCTTTCATGATGGAATTGTCTCCTGAAGCACCTTTAAAATGAGCTTGAGCGGCGAACCCTCCTGCATACTCAAGTGCTGGGAGGTCACGCCCAGCCTAGGCGGGGCCTCGGTAAGCAGGCTGTGCGCCTCCTGACCACCCCCCCACCCCCCCCCCACCCCCGCCTCCCTGGGATGTGGGCTGAATTATCTTGTCACTGCCGCTTCCCAGTGCTTAGGGAGTCCCCACCAAGTGAAGACTCTAGGGCAGCCTAGAATCCCAGGGCCTGTCACCATGATCACGAGGGCCAGGGCAGCAGGGGGCTCCCAGGCAACCCCTCAGGGTCCTGCTCTTACAGGAGCGCTTTATCAGGACAGCCCAGGGCCTCTTGGCTGGGGTGGGGACACAGGAGTCCGTGGCGTGGCTCTAGGACGCAGTCCGTCAGGACCTCCATGGGTTCCCTGTAGGACGGGATGGGCGGCTTCTGGGTCACGGCCTCCTCCACACGGAGCGCTCCCATCTTCTCCTTCCTGAGCCCCGCCCCTCGTGCGGGAGGAAAGGGAGGGTACAGTCAGACAGAGAAAACAGATCAGATGATAATCCCCTCCCCACAACCAACTGCGCCCCAAGGTATGTTTGGTGAAGAACCCCTGGCAGAACAGACTGGAGACGCACAAGGGCTGCTCTCTGCAGGCCTGATGGAGTCCCACTCTGCTGACTTTCACCCTGGGGCAGCGGAGCTCATGCGGGGGGTGGGGGGGGCAATTTTGCTCCTAGGGGACATCTGGCAGAGTCCGGAGACCTTTTTGATTGCTGCAACGGGGAGGGTGCTACTGGTACCCAGTGTGTGTGTAGTGGGAAAGGCCAGGGGTGGCCAGGCGCAGGACAGGCACCCACAGCGAAGAACTACCTGGCCCTAAACGGCAGCAGTGCTGAGGCTGAGAAACTGCCTGGGAAAGAAGGCTTTGTCATATACAATCTGGCCGTGTTCTCTGTTTGCTTCAGACCTACTAGTCCCATCGCCCTATGATTACAACTTGCAGAAGCGCACAGCTGATGGCGTCTTCTCCTTCACCTTCACAGATCGGGCACTGAGAGCAACTCACTCACCAAATGCGTGGGTGAAGGACTCCCATGTTGGAATCACCCTCCTTCCTTCTCTCCACTTCTACTGCCCCCTCCCTGCACCCGCCCCCCAGCTGCAGGTCCAGGGCCACCATGCTTCCTACAGAGCGTCTGTCAGCCCTGAGGCCAGTCCACTGCTGCTGATCACAGACCCTGAGGTAAGATGACAGCAGAAGCAAGAGGACGGAGACCCGCTATAGGAAGACGCCAAGGGAGAAAAACCATGGCTCTGTCACTGCTCAGTGACACAGGAGCAGCCTGGAGAAGCTCTGGTTTTCTTGGTGTTCAGTGACTACTTGAAAAGAGGAAAATTTCGTACTTAAGACTTCCAGTAACTTGGCCTCCAGGATAATGTCACCTCCCCCTCAAGCCCAGTCCCCACCTGGCCTTCCAGGCTAGGTGGGAGGCTTTCCTCACGGACCCCTCCCCTGGCTGAAACCCCCAACCTTCTCCTCCGCACAGCACTGTCCTCACAGCCCCTGTGACCTGCACCGACCTCTTCCCTCTGCAAACAGGGTCCGCACAGCCCCACGGGGATGTGGTGTCTCTGCCCTCGCTGGCCCAGTCCCCACGTGATTTCTGGTACTAGTCTGCACCTTTAAAGACTGCCGTGGGCACTACTGGCCAGACGCTGTTCCAAGCCCTTCACATCTATTAATCCGCTTTACAGATGAAAAACCATAGCACAGAGAGATTAAGCTGCCCCAGGTCACGTGCTAGTCAGCGGCAGGACGAGCATTTGAACCTGGGCAGCCTTGCTCTGGAAAGTCCTGCTCTTAGCTCTATGCCCTGTGCCCTGCAGGGTGGGCGTCCTGCCTGCTAGCTGGATCATAATCTCCTGGAGGGCAGGTGTCCCGTCTTGAGCACCCACTGGTCTAGCAAATGGTAGGGCACGTGACACCTTAGGGCAAGCCCACTGTGACAGCTGCCTTGAGCAGACTCTACCAGGCTGTGGGCTCACCATGGGGTTGGGAAGCTAAGATTCTCTTCCTCTGCTTCCCCATGTCCAGGAACTCTGCCACGCATACTTACTTGTGTGGGAGCGGGGTGGCACTTGGGCACAGGCGTAGACGTGGCTGAAGCGCCGACCTGAGGAGGTCAGGTACCAGTGCTGGATGGCGGGCTGGGGGTTGTACTCTGTGACGGCCACACCATTCACCGCTGTCATCATGAGCATGTTGATCACCTCGTTGGAGAGCTTGGTCCTCTCATCGGTCCTGATCCGGTTCATGGCACTGAACCCGCGCTCACAGCAGGAGGTGGAGACGGGCACACAGACCACCACTGCCACGAGCCTGCTGAGCAAGGGGAAGCGGCAGTCCTGGGCCAGGGCGTTCCTGCACAGCATGGAGAATGGCAAGTTCTTGGCGATGGCTTTCAGGCCCAGCCACTCCTCCAGCAGTGCTTCCTCGCTGTATCCTGGGGGCAGTGAGAGTTCAAAATATCTGGCCAGGGCAAGAATATCATCATTCCCAAAACCGGCCAGTTCCATCCCACTTGGCCAGGCCATGGCGTCAAACACCTCCATGTTCTTGAGCTGAGGGGGACGGTCCACGTCAAACCTTTGCTGGAGGTATTCAATCCCAGTCAGGATCATTCTCTCCCTGTCCGCCTGGAACCGCTGTTCTGCCATCTCCATTCTGTCCAAGAAGATGCCGTGGAGCTGCCCATCCCTGAAGCCGGCATTGAACTCTTCCTCTTTGGGTCCTGCCTGGTGACGGAGGGTCTCCAGTGCTACATAGGCCCGGCCCAGCGTGGAGTTCACCTCCGTAATCAGCACGATCTCCTTCTGGCACACTTCGGACAAAGGCCTGTAGATGCTCAGGAAGTCCAAGAGGAAGTGGCAGAACTTGACGAAATGGAAGCCCTTCATCAGCTTCAGCACGCCCTTGGCCCTGTGCCCGACCTGGCCACCTGCTTCCGCCACGCTCTGCAGGTGCCTGGCCAGGGCGGGCCAGCTCACGATGAGCGCACTCAGCGTGCGCCTCTTGCTGGCCACCCACCTGACAGCGTTCAGGTCCTTCAGGCGGATGATTTCCTGCTCCAGTGGGGCCGCGCCTTCCTGCAGCTCATTCAGCCTTTTGTTCGAGGACTGATAGAACTTGAAGACGGTTCGGATGTGCCGGTCACACTTCTTGACCAGGTCGATGCATCCACAGGCGTCAACCACGGCCAGGTGTAGCCGGTGGGCCACACAATGCACCGGCAGCAGCTGGGGGACGATCTCCTGGAGCTTCTCCACCAGACCTCCTCTGCAGCTCAGCATGGTTGAGCCATCGGTTCCCAGGCCCACTACCCAGCCAGGCTTCCGGAAGGGGATGTCCAGTTCGTCCAGGGCAGAGATGATGGTCTCAAAGTATCCATCCACCGTCTCGCTGTAGAGTGGGGCCAGAGTGATGTAAGACTCCTTCACCTCCATCCCCTTGAAGTAGCGGATGTAAATGCCCACACAGGACTGGTCGGAGGTGTCTGTGGCGCTGTCCAGCAACACGCTCACACACGGGGAGTTCCGGACATCCTCAAGGATCTCCTTCTTCAGAGTCTCGGAGATGTATCTGATGAACTGAGTGCAGGCGGTGCGATTTCGGTACTTGCCCAAAATCACGGTCCCAGTGCTTTGGAGGAGTTGCAGGATCTTCTCAAAGTCGTTCAGGGGCCTCGAGTGGTACGCGATGGAATAGGCGGCATTGAAAAAGTGCTCCATGTCGGCCATCAGGTCACTGGAGATCTCGGGGACGAGGGCGGCCTGCGGGGTGTCTTCCTTGACTTCCAGGGTGTTGACACAGAGCTTGTGTGCTTTGCTGACTTCATGGTACTTTAAAGTCTCCACTTTAAAAGGACCCGTGTAACCTCGGACTAACCGGGATGATCTGTCGTGGAGACTAGGTCTTTCTTTGCAAGCTGAGCAGAAGAGCTTGGTCTCTTTGGGGTCAATTACTAACCATGGGAACTGCCCAAACCACGACCTCTGAATTGAGCGGGGTCTGTAAGTCCTCTTGATTTTCCTCCGTCCATCTGCTTCTACTTCACAAAGGCTGGGATTGCAGTAGGAGGTGCACGTCTCCATGGCAGGAGCTGGGAGCAGTGCAGATTCTTCAGCCGAGGCCTGTGTGTGTGCCTCTCTGATGGCCACCGTCGTCTTCTTCCCTTTGGAGCAAGTCAAACTGTGCTCGGTTTTGCTGCCCAGAACTCTGCAGCCTCCTATCTGCTAAGACACCCCAATTCAGTAAGTACCCCTTATGCAAAGCAGAGAGGATGAATGTCATCCACCTTTCTAGAAATCAGTAGTGGCTTCTATTTAAACCCTTTCCCACTAGTTTCTCTGAAAGCCAGTCTGTCTCCCCAAGAGTTGTCTGCTAATCCTTGTGGGTTCTTTAGCCAGCCTCCCCCTCCCTATCCACATATCTACCCTGAGATCATGTGACATCAGATGCTAATAAGCTTACTTAGCACCTTGGCCACAGATGCTATTGGATGGTTTTAATCCTCTTTCGAGGCACCACAAAGAAATGAGGTTAAACATCCAGAACTCTTCTTATGAGTCTTGGAAACAAGGGAGGCATAGAAGTATACGCAGTAGCTATTAGCCAGTAAGTTACTGACAGAGATACACGCATTGCTAACTCTCACAGACCAACAGTGTTGTCACTAAACACCAGAGGAGCGGGGAGAAGGCAGCAGAGGCTCCCAGCCGTGGGTCACGGGGCTCCTCATGGCCCGTGTCCACCACGCACCACCCCCATCAGCTCTACCACAGTCTCCCCGTTTCACTTCTGCTCATCAAAGCTCCTTATTTTTCCCAAACCGTCCCATTTCTCAGATTCTTCTACACTGTGAAGGCACGGTTAGTTTCTTATTCACGTTTTTCTACCAATACAGGGCCTGGTGCACAACAGGTCCAGCAGGAGGATGGCGGAACTAGCACTGTGTGACTTGCCAGGGCTGCCTGGGCCCCCGGACAACCCTTCAGAACCCAGCAGGTCAAGACCCACCTGGAGGACGGCCTTTCCCCCACCTTGGCCCATTCAGGTCCTTGGTCCAGGGTGCAGCTCTCCGCTCCAGTTTTGAGATCAAGGCTGGTTTGGCAGCAGCAGGCCCTGTTGCAGGGACGAAGAGTCACAGCGACATCACAGCTCTGGACTGTCAAGTCAAGCAGCCCATCTGAAAGCCCCAGGGAGGCCTCTGGGCGCATCTCCTAATGAAACCTTCCCACCAGGGGCGCGACGAGCACACCCATCTAGGGTGCCAGTTTATTTTAAACCCACAGAGGCACCGAATTAGGGTGCATCCCTTAGCCCCACGGCTCACCCATGGGAGCGTGACTCAGCTAAACGGATCTGGAGGGGAAAGGGTGAAAACAGGAAGAAATACGGAGGACAAAATAGAAGGAGAGAGGACAGGGATGATAAAGAAAGCCACACGAGAAGTGGGAGAGGGCCACCAACAACTGTCCCACGCATGTGGCCCTCAGCAACACCCACAGCTGGCCTTGGTGCAGGTGGCTAACTACATGGGGCACCTGGAAAGCCCCCTAACGCTGCCTGCCACCTGCAGGGGGACCTGAAATCCGACTAGAAGAGGTTCGTGTCCTTGGGTTAAGCACTGCCCTTTACTGAAAATATGAATATTCTGCAGGGCTATGCGAAGAAACTGCTTTCTTGATTTAAAGTAAAACCCATTAATCCCTACTTACATGCTTTTTACGCATCGATGTGAAAGGGTGTATAGCCTTTGTTTGGAAAGACATATACAAGCCACTGGTAACTGCGGGCACCTCTGTGGAGGGACTGAAGGACAAGGTGAAAGGGAGATTATTTCACTATTCACCTTTGGATCATTCAAATGTATTTATATGTTCATGTGTGTATGTATCCACATATTTACTACTAATAAAAATATAATACATTATTAATCTGTGGTAGATTGAACACTTACTCATCTTCAAACGTCTCTAAAATGAGCGCAAAGGGATACTAATAAAAAGAAGTGTAAGCCCAAGAGAAACATTGTACTAGAAATGTTAATACATTTTTAGATGAAGGAAAGGAGATAAAAGAGAAGAACTAACAGAGCTGGACACCAAATGCCAGCAGAGTGGGTAATAAGGACAAAGAAGTGAACTTGACCCCAGAATCCCCAAGAGCCAGTACCTGGAGGCACCAGGTGCAGCAGAAGGTGGTGGGTAAGGAGAGACCGGTTCAAGGCCAGGTCCGCTCACCTATTCCGGGAAGCCAGAAAATACCACCACCCTCCCCCAAGGAGGAGAGAGAGGTTGGTCTACAGAAAAACTTAACCAGAAAGGTTCCGGGCCCTGGGATGGTGGGGTGAGTGAAAGATGAAGAAGAGCTGTGATGCAAACAGATGGAGACAGTCTACAGACCAGAAGCTGCGTTACCCGGCTCCGAGAACACCAGCTTGGGGTACAGCCAAGCAGGAGACTGGAAGTTTTCTTTGGAGAAATGGAATTGCCCCTCCCCAAGCCTCCTCCCCAAAAGACCCACGGATCCAGACCTTGCTGGGCTCTTCAATGAAACATCCAGGTTCACAGCTGGTCACCCTACAATGTAACCTACCCCTTGAGTCCCAGCCATGCACACAGAGCTTCCAGCCAGTTTTTAAGGCTTTACTCTTAAATGTGAATGAACCTAAAGATATTTATTTAAGACAAACTGCTAACAAGTAGGGAAAAGGATTGAAGGAACTAGAGATACTGCAGGAAGCAAAACAAAATTTCAACCCCCTCCCCTCAAAACTAGAACATTCCCACAGAGAAAAGTCATGATAGTTATCCATGAAAAGAGCAATAAGGGCTCTTAGTTTAAAATATGATAGAAAAAAATGTTTTAACTTAAATAGAATTGTTAGAAAATAAAATGGAGGAAAACTCCAGGAAAGTAGAACAAAAAAGACAGAAGCAGGAAATAGGAGAAAAAAATAAAACAAAACCAGAGGCTTAATTTAAGAAGTCTAATATCTAACTAATAGGACTTTTTTGGAAGAAAGAAAAGAGAAAATATAAAGGAAGAAATAATACAAGAATGTTTCCCCAAAATGGAAACTGTGAGTTTCCACATGGAAGGGAAGCACCAGATATCCAGAACAAAAGATGAAAAAAAATCCGTATCATTAAGCACTAAGTACTTCAAAACACTGGAATAGGCCTTCAAACTTTTCAGAGTGGAAAAACAGGCTGCGTTCAAAGATTTAGGAATAAAAAGGTATTTAGACTGCTCAACAGCACCTGTAAAACCTAAAATCAATGCTTTCAAAATGCTGAGGAAAAACATTTCCAACCTGGAATTCTATACCCAAACCACATTATCAATTGTGAGAGCAGAATAAGGGCATTTTCAGATATACAGAGTCTTTAAAAAATTTCCTCCCATGAACCCTTTCTTAGGAAGTTACTGAAGGATGTGCTCCAACAAAATGAAGACATAAACCTAAAAGAAGCAATAGATCCAGGAAATAAGAGAGAGATGAAGGAAAGTCTAAGCCCACAGCTGTGCAGCAGGCCTAAAGTATAACTAGTTTAGATAGAGCAGAGGAATGGAAGACCCAGTGACAGAAGTTTCCAGAAAAAAAAGTGAAACGGATAGGTCACAGGATGTTTGATGATGCGTTAAAGACTCTTCAAAGGAGTTATATAATTCGATGGAGAGTTTGAGAAGAATTGGTGATAGTACAGAAAGCTAGCAAAGTAAAAAAATAAGAAAAAATTTCAATTCCTGGGGGGAAAATCCTACAACAAAGGAAACATCATCATAATATGTCACTTTGATTAGAAGTAAATAATACATAATCATAATTAGGCAAATAATTTACATTGAATTAACCAAAAAAGTATGATATACCTGTTCTGAGAGGATGGAGGGAAGAGAAGTGGGGGCCTGGGGTGATGTAAGAGGGCCATATCTTCATCCTCCACAGTAGGAATCAATAGATAATATCTAAAATCAATAAATCAGGAATAGCAATAAACATATGCAACAGGATATTAAAGTGTGATTCTGTCTGCCTGTTTTGGCTGAAGGCCCCCCCAAAATAGGAGCCAACTCTCCCCCATTCCAAAGCTAGACCACCGAAGCCAACTTGGAAAGAGTGGCTGAAACACTGGGCTGTAACCCAAGCACTTGCCACTAAGAGGGAGTCAAAGCACTGGGAGTGAGGAGGTCAGGAAGTTGGATATTAGAGATGCTTTGGAAAGAGCTGTCAAGTGTACTGTGAGCCCTCCACACTCCCATGGGGAGGGGTGGGGTGGACTGGGCTACTTTCCTCTGACCTTAAGCCTAATGGGAATGACATCCCGACCTGTATTTCCTGGAGCTGTGGGGCTGCTCAGGAATCCAGGCCTGGAAAAGACTAAAGGCATAAACTGACCGATGGTTCCTTGGTGGTGGCCATGTTGGGAAGAGCCTACATTCACAGGGCTTGTCAGAGCAAAGGATATGTAAGTGTTTTCCATGGTCCAGATGTGAGCCCTGGAGGGAAAGAGAAGAGGCCCAGAGCCACTTAAAGGGGCTGCCCCTGTCTGCCTATTGGTGATGCTCCCCTAAGGAGCCCATATGGGGCAGACTGCCAAAGCAGACATTACCCACTGTAGTGAGAGATCTCCAGTAACGGGGGTTTGGGGGAGTGCAGAACCCACAAACACACTTGGAGAATCAGCTTTCAATTATCCCAGCTACATGTAACTGGTATCAGATTACATGGATGTAATTCTTGTACCTCTCCTCCCCGCCTACACACCACCATTCCCAGCCAGGATGCAGCAGAAATCCTGGAACAAGCTGGGAGGTAGGAGGAGAACTTCTTTCTTCCTATCACAAGATTCCGGATTCTAGACCTAAAGCAGGTTGAGGTGGGAGAGGCAAGAAACTTCAGCTTTAAATGAAGTCCAGATTTTTAACCACTACACAAGGACTGGACTTTTGTTTCCTGATTTTTTTTTTGGTCAATTTTTGATATCATTTAAAACCTATAGAAAAGTTTTAATAATAAAACAAGGAACTCCAATCATTTGCATTTTGTTCCATTTGCTTTATCATGCCCATGTGCCCTCTCTCCCTCCCTCCCTTTCCTCTCTCTATATGTATAATATATAAATACATATATATGTATATGTGCAGACTGCACACTGGAGTTACCTGGGAAGCTTTAAAATATATATAGATAATATTTTTCTGGACCATTTGAGGCTAAATTGTTTTCATTCCTCCCTTTATCCCTAAATATTTCTGTGTGTAGTACTCAAGAAAAAAGACATTCTCTTATCGGGTTTGCAAAATTCTAACACGAGCTCCAAGACCCTAACCCTTGCCTATCCCTGCCCCTTGGAGTGTGACTGAAATGTGTGAACTGATATCACACCCGTAATTACATTACATAGCAAAAGAGATGTTGTCTGGGTGATTACTTAATGTAATCACACTAGCCGCTTAAAAGCAGAGGAAGTCAGAGAATCAAAACACCAAAAAAATTCAATGTATTATTGCTGGCCTAAGGATGGAGAAGGCCATGTGGAAAGGACGTGGGAGCAGGCCCTAGGAGCTGAGAATGGTCGGCAGCCAGAAAGAAAGTGGGGACCTCAGTCCTACAACCACAAGGAACTTGATCCTGCCAACAACTCAACAGCCCAGTGATTCTTCCCAGAGCCTCTTGATAAGAGGCCAGTCTGGCACACTTAATTTCAGCCATGTTAGACCCTAAGCAAAGAACCCAGCTAAGCCCACCTGGACTTCTGAACTCCAGAACTGTGAGATAATAAATGGGTGTTTTTTAGCCATTAAATTTGTGATAATTTGTTATGCGGCAACCAAAAACTAATATGTCTTATATAGTCAAAGTATAATGATCAAAATCAGAAAATTTAACATTGATATAACACTATAATTTAATCCACCATACTGTTTTCCACAGTGACTTACCATTTTATATTCCCACCAACAGGGCATAAAGGTTCTATCCTCAGCAATAGTTGCTGTTTTCTATTTTTTTGATAGTAGGCATCCTTATGGGTGTGAGGTGGTATCTTATTGTAGTATTGATTTACGTTTCCCTAATGATTGAGTATCTTTTCATATGCTTATTGGCCATT